AGCTGAACAGGTGATGGAGAAACAGGTTTACCTTTTAGGTGACATGAATGAGTTGAAGGAAAGTTATGAACTATTTCTGAGAAATAACACCAGGATCCTTTTCTAAGTAGCTGACAGCTGGTAACTGTGCAGGGGCGGGTCTAGCAAAGTTCTGTCAGGGGGCCAGGTAGGGCATTAACAGGGAGAGGGGGCACAAAGAAATACTTTTCTTTCTTATTCTCATTTAAAATGTCTAGCTTTTATTAAATAATTATCTGAATCTTACAACCAAAGTTTTTATCTGACATAAAATGTATAGAAATCATACATATACCAACAAGACAGTGTACATCACTGTCACAACAGCGTTTGTTTTCATTCAAAGGCTTTATGGCTTTTCCTATAATATTCCTGGTGGGCCGGTCTCTAGTCAAAATGCCCGGGCCGATTTTTTGTCCCAGTCCAGCCCTGGTCAGAACAGCAAACCGTCTGTGCTCACAGCTGTATGTGTGCTTGACCTGACCATATTAGGGATCCGCTTTCTATGACATCATACGCATGTGTCTACATTTTTTTTCTTCTTAATCAAACCACACATTACTCTGTGCTCTATAGTTTGTATTTACCCAAACCCATTTTGGCTGCTCCCTTATTCACAGGGATTCACCACAGTGCACATTTGATTGGGCAGACTTTTACACTGGATGCCTTGTCCAGACACAAGGCATTTGTGTCTCCTAATTTACCTACTAGCAGTCAAATGCCATCCTTAGGAAGCGCCAACCAGAGCTTGATTTACTGCCGTGTTTGGCTGTTACTTTCACTGAGGGCAGGCCGTACTAATTGCAGACTCATACAAACCCTCCCTGCAGCCGTGAACCTGTGTTTGGTCTTATTACTAGCTCATTTACTTCCCCTGAGTGCGTGCAGTACTGGTGGTCCAGGAGTTGCTTCCAAACCATTTGTCTTCTGCTTCTGTCCTGGGTGCTGCTGCTGGTAGCAGCTCTCCAAAAGCTGCAGCCAGCCTAATGAGAGCATTTATCCCATTAGGGACATCATATTTCAGCAATGCTGGATTTACAGCAGATGTTTGCATCTCCAGATCGTCGGGACTGATAATCTGCTCCTGTGAGTCCTTTTAGGGGACCAACGGCAGCACTTCGTACTCACAAAACTGCACAGGGAAAAAGAGCTGGTTGAGTACCTCTAATTAAAGCCTGTCACTCAAACGCTCACTCAGCATCACCTGGAAATAGTGCAGAGTGGGCGTTGGGTTACAGAGTGCACATTGAAGTACATAATATTCTTTTAACTACTAATGAAGACAGTTTTTATCTCTTATTTTGACAAATTTGGCAGAAGACTGCTGAAAAACATGCCTTAATCTTTATCAATATCTTAAACATAGAATTTTAATCGCAAAACTATGCAACAACTCTACAGGGAATCTAACAACGTGTTAACAACAGGCCATTATTCACAGTATATGATTAGGAAGAGGTGTCTCATCACTTATACTTTAAAAATGTATTCATGCGGCATTTACACATAACAAAGCCCAGGGCGCCACAGGCAGCTGCCTGCACCTTAGAGATGATGCTAATGAAGGTTAGAACATATCAAAGACTCCCAAGACTCATCAGTGACATTTTTGAAGGCAGGAAAAAGTGGCCACATCTTTGTTGGAGGGCCTTGAGCTGAGCCAATTTTAACGTACCCCCCCGTGTGGTCCCTTGTTGAAGAGCTGAGGCAAAGGCCATCACTTCACACAGATGTTGTCTTTAAGAAAATTATTAACAAATTGTATTTCAAACCCCTTCAGGATTATTTATTAGAATCGTACTTCATACATAATGACACAAGAGCACAAAAAAACAGGAGCAGTTCAAGACATTTCTCTTACATTAAAAGACACCACGTGAAATTGTCTTCACTTGTCATGAACACGCAACGACCTCCAGGGTGAAAAATGAAGGCCATGAGAAAGTGCCAAAAACGACAGTTCCCCTAAAGCCACGTGGGACTTGTTCCACAAGCAAATCAATCCCAAAGATGAATATAGCTACTGTGATGCCTCAACATTAGCATCTGGCTATCACTTTTGTGGAGCCAGATGTTACTGTACTTGGACAAAAGGAAGACGTTTTTAGCTAATGGTAGCAGGCTTAGTTAACCGGCTGTATTCACAAACACACAAGTAGCAGGCTAATAAAACCGAAGCACAAACTTTCATAGTTTGTACCACAGAGCAGGTTGTATTACCTGTCACATCTTTCTATTACAAAGGGCACAGACAGTAACACACAAACACAAGTCCAATTAATGAAAGTGAGACGGTAGCAGATGGCTTGTATCTGGACACCTCTAATTCAAGTATCCAAATGGATCGATTATATTAAATTTATATAAAATTTTTGCTGTGGTAATTCTGTAAAGTTGGGCATTTTGACATGGGCGTCAGTGTGGACTGACTCACTTTTGGAGCCAGGTCAAATGGCCATTAGAGGAACTGTAGTTTTCAGCACTTTCACTCCAGCTTAATCTTTAAACCCTGGATGTTGCCTCTTGGTAACTCGCCATAAACTTCAATGCTAAAATTTATAACTCTACATTATTAAAAATCATGCTTTCAGCCTGGTGCACAAAGTGTTTGGGTCTCTATGGATACTCTTTCCCTCTATGACAACTGAACAGGAGGTAAATGTTTCAGTAACTCACCAGCCTGGATATGGGTAAGACGTGACACATATAGCTATAGCCAAAAACTTCATTCATTTATGTAACTGAAAGAATCCTGCTGCTGGTTCCTTTTGGAGCATATTTATTATCTGGAAAATAATGTGGCTTGCTGTGAACTTTAGATACCAATGAGTAAAAATCACAGTGGCCATGCACATCTTTCATTTACAGTCTATGATCATGTTGAGTGTCTTCTTAGGCTCTGGAGGAAAGGCTCCAAACTTAACTGGCTTAACAACCTCAGATTTGATGTTTTCCCAATGGGTTTGGAGAAAATGGATATTTAGAGGCTAAGGTCGATCAAATCAAATACACTGTGGAATCATGGGAAACACAAGTCAGTTTTTCCAGGTTCAATTTGAACCATTATTTTCTTAATCTCTCTCTCACAAGTCCGTCAGCTTAACTAAAGTGAAACATGAAACCACTGGAGCGCCCCTTCACAATGGACAGATTATTATGGCAGAGCATTCCCTTGCTGCTGCTCTCTAATGTGGATCATTCACAGAAATTACTGTCAGAATTAAACCTTCCATTCCTGGTTAATTGGCAAGTCTCCTTTCTGCTGCAGAAACAGTTTTAATAACTGCTTGGCTAAAAATCTGAAAGAAGGAAGGACCGACCCCCATCCCCATTCCCCCAAAAAGCATCTGAACCCTTCATAATGATTCTGAGTTCGAAAATTGAAAAACCAGTCAGCAGCCTATTCATTTAAAATGAATAATAAGCTGTCTCGTTAAGAACACAAAAGACAAAACTCACAGAAACTGAAAACCATGAGAATTAGCGTCGTTGGAGTTTTCATGCTGTAGATTTTATTAAAGAGTTTATCCCTAATCGTATTAGAAACAAATTAAAAATGCTGAGTGTCCATTTAAATGTACTAGAGCCTCTTCAAGCCAGATATTGAGTGTCATTCATCACATGCCCTGCTTTGATTGAATCAGTCACCCATGTCTCTTTTACTATCTTAAACTTCCTCCTAAAGCAGCGCCTCAGAGTTCTCAAATCCAGAAGTCTTGTTGCCTCTGCAATAATAACATGTGAAACGCCTTCCTCCAGCTCTTCCACCACTTTTCCTCCATGGTAACGAAACTCCAATGCCCTGGTGTCCAGGCAGGTGGCAGGTATGGCACTTTTAGGGTCTCCTATGTCAGCAAATCTGTCCATATATGCTGTGAACGGTCTGAACATGCTGGTTGTAAGGTCATCCCAGCCGTAGCGTCCCTCCACCTGCGTGACATTTACCTCGTTTGATGCGTCTGCGCTGCTGATCCTGTTGAACACTTCCCGCAGCTGCTGCTCGTCTGTGTCAACAAAGTAGCTGTCACCATAGTTGTCGTACTCCTTGGCAAAGTGCTCCCTGGTGGAAGGCGACATGTGGATCATATGGCGGGGTTGCCATGGAACCACCTCCTTCTGGTCCAGGCACTCCAGCAGCCAGGTGGCCCAAACTATGTCATGCTGGTTGGATGAAATCAGGTTCTTCACGCGCATGTTCTCCACACCGGCAACCACGCAGTAGGTGTCCCGTCCAGGGTTCTGAACTACAAAACCTCCACACCTAAAGTGGGAATTACATAAGAGATAATTAATTATTAGACACTCAGTCATAACCACCACCTGAAGTTTCTTCCTGTTAAAAAGGAGTTTTTCCTTACCAGTTTTACCAATCGCTTGCTCACAGGAGGTCGTCTGAGAGTTGGGGTTTTCTCACTATTCTCTGTATTTTAGGGTCTTTGGCTTCCAAATTAACCCTTTCATGCATGAATTATGACAACCTCAATCAGGATTTTTTTCTTAAGTATTTTTATTCATCTTTAGGCATGAAAAAAAGATTTCTGAACTTCATTTTTTTAAACATGTATTTTTCAAAGAGTTTTTTACATGTCCACTTAGGTGGACAAAAACACCTTTGGAGTGACACACCAGTGTCCAATGTGGTGGTTTATGAGCAAGTATACCATCAACACTGATACAAATACAAGAAAACAGCCTTTGAATAGCTGTCCACTGTAGTGACCCCTATGCGTGAAAGGGTTAAAGTGCCTTGAGGTGATTATTGTTGTGATATAGCGCTATATAAAGAGAACATTTGAGACTTTAAAGAGAACATTTGAGACTTTCCTCCAACAGCTGGATAGACTCCAACTCTTGGAATCCAGTGGATAATGAAAGTCCTTGTCCTGTTGTTGCCTCTCTAACCAAACTTAAAACACATGGAAAGCTAGTGCTGCTATGCTATAGCTTACCATGGCTGTAGAGCAGAACAAATAATAGTGTTTCCAGCTATAGTCCAAGATAGTCAAATTGGAGTCCTCTAACTGGTTGAGAACCTTTTGGAATTACAATTCATTTAAGAAAGCGAGGAAGTGCCTCCTGAATGCCAGTGCACCGCCACAGTTCTACTTATCCAGATGTTGTTTACTCAAACACAAACACAGAAAAAGTGATCATAATAACAAAAGTTGAAACAGATGTTCCCTGTTTCTTCACAGGGCTTGGCTAACACACCATTAAAGTCCCTACTGTTAGCTAAAGCAGTGAAGCTGTATCTCTGCCAGGGCTGTCACATGTTTACATTTATTAAAAGTTTCTCCATTTACATTTTCTTACAATGTGTCTTCATCCTGTAGACACATTATAGAATGTATTTATTAACAACTTTATTAAAGTGAGAACTCAACCACGATATCAGCGCTTTACTTTAAGATAGAATTGACTTAATCATAAAAATTTTATTTCTTAAAATACTAAATACATAAGAAAAATGTTGTCTGCCCAAAATTTCTAATTCAGTCACATTTTTTTCTTTAACTAAAATACCAAACTAACATTTACTTTACTAGAAAAAAAAACTTGTGTTACCTGGCCACACCCTTTTCCAGTTCAGACTTGGGATGATCTTCGGTGCCATTCAGGATGCAGAACTCCACGTCCTCAAACATATCTGTTTCCTTGGTCACCCCGGAAAGGTCCTGGGGCTTAAAGTGGTCAATGACACCGATCACTTTCTTGGGTTTGACTGGCAGCTTGCGCTTCTTCTTTTGCGGTTCATCGTTGTCAATGTGAAGGTGCCGAGAGGCGAGTTTCCCAGATGCCTTGCTGCGGAACTGATCCAGCTCTGCCAGTGTCATGCACTGGTGCCATTCTTTGTCATCTCGAATCTTCTCAATCCTGGGGAAGCGCAGAGTACAGTTGGTTTTATACATGTCGCTTCCGACTATCTCAGCCGCCTTAACCTGGATGATAACGGAGTTGCAGGGTTCAATGTAGACTTCCGGTTTCTCTGTTCCACACAGGATGGATGCTGGTGGGTTGTTTTTCCGGTAGACCTTCCAGTGTTTGGTGAGCTTTAAACCAAGGTCATACAATTCTTTCATGGTGTAGCCGGAGCCAATGCGGCAAAGGGTATGGAAAACTGAAGGTTTCTCGCCAGGCTCTGGAGCTTCGGCCACAGCACATAAGAAATGGGACATCATGCCACCCCTTCTCCCTTTTCCCCAGTAGCCACCAACAATCAGCAGGTCAAGCTCATCCATCAAGCCATCCACATATTCTGGTTTTATCTTCAGCCAGCCTTCCCCTCGCTTGTCAGGTTTGTAGATGGATAAAGGATCCTTCACCATGATCCCCTCTTCTCTGCTGTCAATAGCATCGTTGAGAGCATTCACCACCTCCTGCATGGTTCTGGCTTCAGCCTTTGGCACCAGATGCAGCCTTCCCTTGGCTGGAGTGAAAATTGTCTGAAGAATCTCATGTCGCTTCTTGAGAGTTTCTTTGCCTAGCTTCTGATCATTTATTAAAAGCACGTCAAACACACAGAAGCATGTCTGCAACTCTGAGTCATCCATCAGCCTCTTGATGTCAAATTTGCTCCCTTTCTGCATGAAGGTGTCTGCTGCTGGGTTGTATGCCATCATCTCACCATCAAGAATGCAGTTCACCACATTGCTTTTAAAAACATTGTGGATATAAGGCGTCAGTGATCCTTCCAACGGGGATCCTCCAAACTGCTGCGTGTACTCAAAAGCATTTCGGCTGAAGTACTTGTACACATCCCCATCTTTGTGCAGCTGAATGCGCTCTCCATCCAGCTTTGTCTCAATGTAAAAAGTGCTGTTTCCCATCTGTTTCTCCACGTTGCGGATGTTAGCCACAGCTGCCAGCATAGGTTTGAAAGCTGAAAAAAGTCCAATAGAGACTTCACTTAAGGACACGGCTGGATTGTGTAACTGCTGGCACACCTTGTTCAAGTCTGTGTTGACGTTGTAGAGCTCAGCAGCGTCTGGGTGGAAAACTTGGAGAACGGTTTCTTTGCTGATCCCGAGCTTCATGTCCTTCAGAATCATTCTAATGAGCCACTTTTGCTCAAGAGCAGAGCTCTGGGTGATGAGGTGCAGCAGACTCTTTTTGACAAGATCCTTCTGCTTGGTGGCATTGCTGGTGGCTACTGTATCCAGGAAGTCGTTGACCTCTTTAATACTGAGATTTCCTTGGCTGGTGCATCGTTTCTTCAGCACAAAATACGCCATGCCAGCAAAGTCTCCAGCTTCTCCTTGGGACGTGGTCGGAGCACGGTAATTCAACAGCTTATTAGCCTCAGGGCCATTCTTTGGGAGACCTAATACATCAATGTAGAGTTTAGCCAGCATGCTCTCTTTGATGCCATATGCCACTCGCTCTCGTTCAAAAGGCGGGACTATGAGGCGCATGGCAGGATAGAAAGAGTCTGTAGTTTTGGAGTTGTCTTTGTGGAGGGCAGAATGAAATTGCCGCCATTTCTCAACGAAGTACCCAAGGATCTTGGATTTCTCTGGACGGAGTTTGGACTTTTGAATTTTTTCTAATGTGGTACACAAGTGAAGGAAAGGAACCTGAGAAGCAACAGATAACTGACTGGAAGCATCAGCTTTGGAAGTGCTGTCCATGGTGAAATCTGTAAGACCAGTTAAAAGAAAGAAAAAGTCTGCTCAGTTTAGTCCTTCCTTGAATTCCTCTATTTACCAGCATTTAACAAATTAAATGAGTCATTTGAGAAATTAGTTATTCAACAACAACAACAAAAGAAACAGATTCTTCTAATAATACAACTTTAAAAGAGGGAATTAAATCTGGTACCACATGTGAGGACTTAATGCTTTCCCCATTTTGTGTGAGCTGAATATATATTTTTAGACATTCAGACAAAACAAAATGAAGCCAAGACTTGACATGCTCAGAAGCGCAACAATCCAGTATCTAGACTAGATGTCGACAAGTCCAACACACACACACACACACACACACACAAAAATCGACACTGAATGTCAGTGATAATGAGCCAAACTGTTCCATTTCATTCTGTGGTATTCCATGTTTACTACACCACTCGTCATTAAAATAAAAGATCAAGACTTAAAAGATCTTTTGCACTTGCTATGATAACATGTTTAGACTTGATAGCATCACAAAATTCTTGGCTGCACATCCATGATGGGACTGATGACTATGAAGGCAATTTGAGTAGTTGGAGATGATGCATTCAGCATTTAGAAGATTGATACATTGTGGTCATAAAGGGATGGACATGGAGTTTACACAATGGGGCCTAAAGTGGGCCATGAAAATATCCCCTACATTATTACACCATCAGCACCAGCTTGAACCACTGGTACAGGGCAGGATGAATTCATGGCCTCACCAAATTCGAACCCTACCATGCTTGGTTTCAGTTCCAGCAGGTCACCTTGACCATGCGTGCATGCCTAAATGCACTTGCTACCATGTGATAAAAAAATGATTGCACATCTTCTCATCACAGTGAGAAATAGTGTGTTAATGTGATAGCGGTATTAACTGGTACTTGAAATCAAATATCTAAAGCCAAGGTATAAGGACTTAAAAAGTTGGAATAAAGCATGAATATAAAAACGCAATACATTGCTGAAATAAAATCAACACATTTGTAATAATAATGATAATAATATTACTGCTAATAATAATTGTAATTGTTCTCTCTCACTTTCAATAGAACAACTTGTTTTTAACAACTTGTTTTTTGTAGTTTTTTTTTTATTTTTTTAGCTCAACTACAAAATAAAACTTAATTCAGAAATAAGCAATCAACTTAAACCACTGCTAAATACTTGTGGGTAAAAAGAAATTTTAAAATGACTTAACTGCTACTGTAAGTTTACAGCTGCACAATCGCTGATTATTGTTCCACACAGATCAAACATGCTCTGGCATGTCTCACACTGACTATAAACTCGTTAAGCAGCAGACACTCCTACATAACCGGAAAACAGTCTTTACCTACCTACCTTGTAAGTATTTAGTTAATAATAGCTATATATACTGAGAACTTGATGTCTGGTACAATAAAGAAAAGCCTTTTAAAATGTTTGAAAAAAGAAGCAATTCCGCTTACGTTTCAAAATAAAAGTACTGTTGTCGTTTCACATTTGTGTTCGTCGCATGTCTGCTCACAATGAGTTCAAGACCCTTAGTGACAAAAGCTAAAACAGATACGAGTCATTTTGTGTTTTAATTATCTGAGTGAAATATTCCGTTCACACAAAGCTAAACGTGAACTAAGCGCAGCAAACACTCTGCTAAAGTAATGCCGGTTCCGTTTGAGAGAGTAACGACACATATTAGCAAAAATAGTGAAAAATAAAATATTAAAGATTTACCGTGTTTGCTTATATCCTCAAAAACGGCAGTAAAAGACTGATTTTCCTCACCAAGAATACATGTTTACGCTTCCTCAAACTTTAGGTGGGGAGTTTCAAGGAAACCCTTCCCTTAGAAAACGAAATGGAAACTTGGTTCCTAGAGACAATGTTTCCTTCCTTTGAAAGAATTATGAAAAATAATTACAAATTTGCTAAAAGTCCACAGGTTTAGCATTCAAACAGGACAGGAAGTGCATCAAAGGTTTGTTCTCTTGGTAGTGCAAGAAACCGAGAGACGTGAATTATTTTCGAAAACGTGAAACGCCATGTCAATAATAAGACGTATTCATTCATCAAACCGGCTTTTGTCGAAAAGTGCCTCCGTCCTGTATTTAAAGTCACTGCTGTTCAGACACTGTATTCATGGGGTGAAAAGCTGTGTTTGTGCAAACATGACGAGCCTAACAACGCGTGAAAAACAGAGTTCAGAACAGAAGGGGTAGTCCTCCTGGCTTTTATTTGGATTGGTAGTCATTTCTACTGTTTATCTTTGTTTTGATTCTTTATTGTGCTTTGTTATCTAATGTATGTATGTATTTATTATTATTATTATTATTATTATTATTATTATTATTATTATTTGACCTGGTCTGTGGTTTTTCTTCACCGATAACTCTTCCTCAGTTCAGTTTTGTTTTTTTTATATTGGGCTCAGCGGTGATTTGTTTCTTGTTTGTGATTGCAGATTAACGTCTGATTTAAAAACACAAGCAAAAAATATGATTTTTGTCCTTTCTTTTAATGCTTATTACTCTGTGAAGACAGCTTCTGGGACAATGCTTGAGTACACAACAAATTTGGCTAAAGAGACAAAGGATATAGTATCATATGATGTTGTATTGTAAAAATAAAATAAAGCTAAAATCATTTTTCTAAATTTGAAACGCAGGTCTTGGTTAAATCCAGTGAATGCACCATATATACCACACAGGATAACCCTTCCTCCATTGCAATTAAAGATTAAATTAAATTAAAGGATCTTTGTTTGACTCATTTGATCAAGAGGTTGGTTTAAACCTTAAACACATGAATAGTTTCAGTATTAGGAATGCTTTTTTCATAACTACAGGGCTGCTTATAACATTTGTTGCTATCTTAGTTAATGTTATTATCAAACTGTGGACATGTTCTTATTTTTATTTGACATAAACATAATACTCCTGTAAATTTCCCTCGATATCATTTTCTTTTTCCTGTATTCACCAGCAGAGGGCAGCAATGAGACGCTGCAGTGCTGATGGAGGTACAGGTGGAGGTTGTTCACTACTCTGATCTTGGGGCAGCTGAGTCCAAAGCAAAAGTAAAAGGTAATTATGCATTCATACTTACTGGTAATCATGAGGCCATTCTCCTCACTATAGAGTTTGTGTAATCACTGACCAGAGTCCACTGGAAGGAGGAATGTTTATGTTTTCTGATAATTTAATAGATTGTAACTACATGCAGTGTTCTCAAGTTTCAGTTTACAGTATTTGGAATTTACCAGTGTTTACTCAGAGAGTGAAGTACTTTCCAGAGTCCCAGCTATTTAAATAGAAAATAAATAAAAGCCCCTGGAAGCTTTCCAAGATAAATGGTGTTATTGTCTTTTTCCACTGTGCCGAATCTGTATGGTCTTATCTTTACCTGGCATGTCAGGTGTCACGTGCAGCACATGTAAGTGGGAGAAGTGTGATTCATTGTACTTTGATGGTTTTAGTGCAAACAATATCAGAACAAGGAAGCACTTTTAGCCCTACTGCAAAACTTTGCCAGGTATTAACAACAACAACAAGTTGTTGATCAGTAATCTGCCGTGTTGAGGCCGTGTTCTGCAGAATTCTGCAAAAACTGAAAGCCTTGCCTCCTCTTTATTCTAAGCACCTCCTAACACATACAGAATGTAGGGGTTAAATTATGACTGGGCTGGCTCTAAGAACACCGGGAGAACCATGTAGCGGTGCAGCATGCATGTGGAAACGACTCACAGAACAATTTGAGCTGTAAACTTAGTAAACTAAGATTAGTTTTCTTTGTGTACACGCTGTGATCAGGTGACCTGCACTTCTGCTGCTGCTCTGGGATTTACTGCTCTTTGTGGATTTTCCCAACAGCATTCTGCAGTAAATAAGAAGATATAACATTAGCTAGAATGGCTGCTTCACAACCCCTATCCAGTGTAAAGCAAGAAAAGATGATACTAAAGAGCTTCACGATCTTAAATTCAACCTAACTCCTACCCATAACCAATCCCTGAATACCACAATTTGCCCTGCACCAGGTAGTTGCCCTCCAGCACTGTGAACTTTATTACAATACTCCAAACCCAGTTTTATTTATTATGATTCATTTAGCTGTAAATGACATTTCACAGTATAATATAACAAGAAGCACTCTGAGAATACAAACCTCCCCCCAGGCAGCTCAGTCTCTGGGGAGTGTTTCCTTTAATATTGTATTTTCTATATATTCATTTTGTTTTCCTTGTTGTTGTTGTTGTTGTTGTTTTTACTTCAAAGGATTTTTACATCTGTAAAAATGAGGTCATTGATCAAAGGTGATGTGATATTTTAAATCTTCATGTGGTAGTTTCTATATGTCAACTATACACACCAAACTTGTAGGACCTTTTGCCAATTTTCAACTAAGAAATCATTAAATTGACCTTGAGGACCTTGATGGATGCAAGGGAAGTTTTAATGAATTGTCATAACCTCCCTGGTTATACACAGATTCACTGTCTGATTAAAAAGCCTAAACTTGAGTGCTCTGATTTTCCTGCCTTTCTCACATCTTTCTCCATCTGTAACTTCTGTCACACGTAAACATTTTGTTTAATTTACCCATTGTCCCCGGGACATACAAAAATATAGTCAGTCAGATTAGAAATCAACTCTCTGAAAAGTTGCATTTGACATGATATTAGAGACCACTCATAATTAATAAAGAGCATCTAGCTAGATGATGAAATTGTGCCACTGCAGCTTGATTGACATCTGCTCACATGAACACAAGATAGAGACAAGAAGGTGTATGTGAGTCTGTATTTCCATGGCACCAGTCTGAAGGGATGCTGGGATTCAGCAGATAAAAAATGAGCAGATGTTATGATTATTAAACAGCCTGCTAGATTTAATTACTCATAAATGAAAGGTACAGCCCTGTTCTGGATCATTCCAGCCCAAAGTAACCCCTGTATATACGAGATTCGTGTATTCTCTTCTCTGTTCTTTGTATGTCACAGACCTGATCATGATTTTGAAAAGTGAACTAACATAAAACCCAGTGAAGGCGCAGGAATCAGAGTCCCCTCTTAACCACTTGAACTACGATGTGTTGAAACCATTTAAGATTACTATTAAAGATTTTCCATCCAGTATGTTGCATACTCCAGCTTCAGAACATATAATATGATTTACAAATTCAACATTTGACAGTTCTGCCACGTCCATGTGTGAGGGATGCAAAGGGACAGCTCGACTGCTTTTTAGCCATCGGCTTTATTTCCATTACAAACTTGTTTTGACACTTCATTAGCTGGTAGCTGGTGTGTTTCCAAGTACACGCCTGTTTCTTTTAAAGTAACGCGACATCGTTCCAGTGGCGTCTGGCTTCAAATCAAAACTATTTGAGGCATGTGCTGATGTGGAATCCAAAAAAACACAGGTCACATTCCACACCCGTCCAGGCAGGGCACATTCCTTGAAAATAAACACAGATGCTCATTTCTCCGAAACCTGGGATCTGAGTCTGTTGGGCGTCCCTATTGGATGGAGCGGCTGAAGGCTTTTTGTGCAGTGATCTGTTATTAGAAAGGCAGCTCTCCTCCAGCTTCAGAGGCGCTGTTCAGTCAATGACTCTAACTTCTGATCTGTGTGTGTGTGTGTGTGTGTGTGTGTATCTCCCGAGCTTTACTTTAAAGAGCATAAATCCTGCAGTATATATCCACACATACACAAAGAAAAATGACAAGTACTGATGATGCATAGGTGAGATTCTGTCATACTATGAATCTTAATAGAGAAAACGTATTCATAGACGTGAGACACACGCTCCATTAACACTTAAACAGTGACATTGAAGCTGTTTACAGCTGTTATAAAGCATTTATTAGATTAGCTTAAATAAATTGCCATGAAGCAAAAGGTCACCAACAATAAAAGCATTCAGGAATATCACAAGTGAGCTGTCACTGTGATCATTACCAGAGATGACAGCAGCATTTTTTTTTTTTTACAAAGACAGTATATCTGATCTATTGGGAAAGATGAATTCAATTCTGCTTTATTTATATAGTGCCAAATGACAACAACAGTCGCCTATATTGTAAATATCTGTTTTATATGTAAAGACTCTGCAATGATTCAGAGAAAATCCCAACAATCCCCTACGACTATCCCCTGCAAGCAAGCGCGCTTGGTGACAGTGGGAAGGAAAAACTCCCTTTTAACAGGAAGGAACCTCCAGCAGAGCCAGGCTCAGGGAGGGGTGACCTCCTTCTGAGACCAAATGGTGGTGAGGGGAGGGAGACAGGACAAAAACAAGCTGTGGACATCAGAGGTGTCTCACTTTTTACATGAACTCTCTGGCGATAACATTATGTTTAACTTTTTTAAAGATCAGTAGA